GAAGTAAAAAAGTACGGTAAAAGCATGACGCGCATTTATGTGTTGTAACGGGCGTACCTACTGAGTTATTTAAGGAATTGGTATATATACTTTTGGTCGTAAAATATAAACGAAGCGTAAAGGATAATTTGTGAGATATAAAATAAAGTGGATTCTAAACATTTAAAGCAAATATATTTTAACACCAAATGAAAGAGTTTAAAATCGCTTGCTTGAGTTTGTTCGAGAGGCGCGGCGACGAAAGAAACTTAAATGCTTGGCGGACAGATAAGCGGTGACCTATGAATCCACCATTGAAGTCACCGCTTGCTCGTCCATCAAGTATTAAAGTCTTTTTCATTGCCGCGCTTCTGAAAAAATTTAATTTATTTTTGTAATCAGTATTTATATTATTCACGATCAAATATTTCCAGATTCTATTATTAAACATTATTATATAATAGCTGTTGTTTTTAATATATGTATATTAAAAAAAAAATTTAATATTTACGATTTTAATTGATAGCGCTAATTTTTTATTTCTTATTTCACCGCGAAATGCAAACTCAAGCACGCGATTCTAAACTTTCGCGCGATGTTAGAATCAATCCCCCTTTCACATAAAACGGAAGTTTTAATCCACACGATACCAACATGGATTTCAATCCGCGAATCAATTTGAAGTCTGATATGAGCTTAAGTGTCATTCTTCAGTTTCGCGCAACGTAACTATCTTGAATCACTGAATTTTTTTTGCAAATTTTAAAATAACCACTTACGTTACGCGCAAGCAATGCGTTATAATCTATAATAATATAATATTATTGAAGCGCATGAATAAGGTATGCATCTTGTTTTAGCGCGATAAAAATGCAAATACCGCTCAGTTAGATACATGAGAAAAATAATATTCTTAAATGAAAAAATTGCAGCAGCAATCTGTAACGACCTTGCGCTCAACGAGGCGCTCACCCTTTCTCGTCCTGATCACAGACGACATTGTGAAAAGGAATACGCACGTAATCCCGCATTCGAGTATCCTAGTTATAAACGTTTATTTACGCGTATTTATTAATTTTGAATAAAATATATAGCAATATAAATTCGCGGCACGCAATGCGTATTAATATAAAAGATTTGAATGTAAATTTTTGCATTAAAATTTTTTTTAATAAAGACACGACGATATAATACAAGAAATAATACGAATTATTACGTTTCCGCTATGTCTAAATAATTTTAAAGTGCGAAATAAGCCAAAAAACGTCTAAAGAAGCAGTTTAACCGCGTGATCGTTATACTGTTTACGGTCAAAATCGAATATTGCATAATTTGACCTTGAAAAATCCTCTCAACGAGACATTATCAGAAAAATTAGATTTAAGGTGTCAACAGATGGGAGATAAGAGTGTCATATTTTTTAAATATATTAACACACTTAGGAAGTCATCTTATTTTGGAGAGACACATCCCTAACTGAAGGAAATGTTCTCTCCGGCTTTTTTTTTAGAATTTAGTAACGTAGAAAAATTTTTGATGGATGACGTAACGAGGAAGTATTATTTGGATTAAATTTATGTAATAGAAAAATTATTATAATTAGATAAGAGCTTGTTACAAGAATCGTGCGATGATATAATCTAGACATATAGACTGGTAATTTCTCTCGATAATCACAGATGTCTAGAAGGGAGTCGATACGCAAAGTGAAGTGACGGAAATAGACGTAGACAAAACGAATCACGTTCGTAATCGCCGAGATTCACATACCGGGTACAAAGTAAATACTTGAAAAATTCTGTATGCCGAACACGCTTCTCTCTCGCGGACGGGAAATTGCTAGGCTCTTTGTAAATTCAACTGTGCAATTCCAGGTAGAATTTTTCTTTTTTTCCAGCTTTAAATTTTTCTCGCGATTCACGTAAAAGACGTGATTAGTCTTTTAACATTTCTTTCATTGTTTTGTTTTGTATTAGGTATATGTATAGCTTCGTTCAAAAACAAGAAGCTCAATCAGATTCTATATTAATGAAGAGAGAGAGAAGGATACTCTTCCGAAAATATTTGATTGTAGAATAAAGCGTATAATTATCGCGAAGTGATACTTGATTCTGATTTTATTTGATTGTGTAGAGAGAGAGAGAGAGAGAGAGAGAGAGAGATTTTTACATAGATGAATAAACTTTAATACTTGGATACAGGTCGAACATGTCTACTTCAAACTGATAACTTTCCGCATGTTTCTTCTTAACGTTCATTAACTAACCAATTATGAGATTCTAATTAAAAACAGCATAACTGCATTTGGAAAGTGCCTTTCGTGTAAATTCCTTTCGCTGACGCGAATCAAATGCGTGAGAGGAATACCAAAGTGCCAAAGCGACTACCAAAGTACAGCGAAAAACTGCTATTTTACAATGATTAAAATACTTGAGCAAAGAGAGAAAAGCATGCAAATACGAACGAAAACTTGTTTCCGAGCAAAACGATAGACTGCAATAAATTTTTCCTTGGAAATATAATGTTGTGCAGTAAATATATAATACAATCCTATTAATATTTACATTTATGTCTATTTCGAACCTGATAAAAGAGACAGGGAGATATTTTATCGAGTCGTTGCACAAACAATGTTGTTTTTTTTTTATTTTAACGATTCAATGATTGAAACATGCTTTTGTAAAATAATCATATCATTTTAATATATTATAATAATTAATATTTCATTATCCTAAGGAAGAAAAAGAAAGGTAATATTCGATATTAGTCTGTTATAAAATTAAAATTATAGAAAAATAAGATATTTGATATGCGCAATCAAATAAAATCAGAAACAAATATTTTTTCGCGATAATTATGTACGCTTTATTCCATAATTAAATATTTTCGAAGAGCATCCTTTTTCGGTGCGAAGGTAAGAGATCGGAAAACGAGGATCGGTTCAAGCTGGATCGGTTTGATTAGAAAGTGGGACAGGCTTGCAGTAGCTCGATACGGTTCCCCGGGGGCCTTGTCGACCCACACTTGCATAAGGCCCGTGTCGCATACTTCCGTGCAACTTTGTGTTCACGCACGCACATATTCATGTTTCGATGTCACGTGTATATGTGTATGTGGGCGGGGTACACGCGTACGAATATGCGCGCGAGAAGTCACCCGATATAAACTGCATCACGAGTGAAGCTTACATTCGCCTTGAGGCGGAGGCAGTAGTGCAGGCAGTTTCCAATGCTCCAGAGGATTGGTCGAGCAAAAGGCGTATTGCCACAACGACATTCCACGATAAACTTACGTGATTTCGTTACAGGCCATTTCATGCGTTATTCGAGGCTTCTGAATTTCTCCAGGATTTTTCCGAAGGTGCATATCTCGCGTTGCACCAGGAAGAAAATCGGAACCGATATAACCGTTGAAATAATCGTCGACAATGGATAAAGCTTCACCGCAATCTCTATGATCGCCGCTGAATTTTTATATTGCACCGTACTGGTCGCTTAGCGACCAGGAATGCAGAATATTAATTCTCTTGCGACGATTTATAATATAAACATTATTATATTTAACACTGCCATCGTGATTTTATCGTAAGATTCACTTCTATCCGACTCTTTATTATATCATATGTATATGGGTCTGATTATCAAAATTTATTTATTAATCTATCACGTATGTACGCTATATGCAATCATAGACATAATATAATAAAATATACTATATTTATGGCGTAAAAAAAATTGGAAAACTTATTTTTGACCTGAGTAACATTGTCGAGTGAAGCGAGCGTTTTCAAACGAGCGATTTCAATAAAATATGGATAATAATTAGTCATATTCTGTAGTCCGATAATATATATTTTGTTGTATGCAATTTGTCTGACGTGGAATTTAATTATATGACCATAAACGGTCGCGACACCGAGTCGACGACGAAATGAAAGTAGCGACCGATCGCGAGACAGATACATGCAGTGGGCGAGAAAGAGAGAGGAGGCACACGATGACGAGGAGAGAAGAAACGGCCTTGCTGTAGACAAGTCTAATGCAACTAGGCGTGGCCTGGCTATGTCTCGCTGATGATGATGATTTCGATTTCATTAAAGCGGAGTACATTAAAACGTTCGTGAAATCATTATCTTGTATTTTGCCGGTAATGAGCGTCCGTAAGATAAGCGCGTGCGATTATTTCGATCTGTCAAGTGTAGAGACGGATATGAAAGAATTTCTAGAATGATCATTAGAAGAATGTTTTCCCGTTAACTCCGATGATTACTTTTACATTTTATTTTTATACGATCTTAATTTCGTGACAGGATGTAATCATACTGGCAGAATACTGGAGAGAATATCGGATGGTTGAGCAAGCATATATATTCATTTTTAGGACGAAAATTGAAATTGTTGCTGAAAAAAAGACTTTTCAAAGATATTAGAGATAAGTATTCATTTCCTGTAAATTCCATACTGAAATAAGACGTCCATAAATCGTTTCAATCCTTCGTTAGTTGTGTCATTTGTATTCTTGATTTTACCATAATAATTATACATTTTCAACGCAAAATTATTCTCAACTATAAACTTTTAAAGCCTCAATTTTAAGATTTAAACTTTTGGATTTAAAAAATTTGCGAAATTTAAGTTTACACGATGCTTTCGAAATTATATGATGAAAATTATTAAAAGTTTATAATGCGCTGCTTTGGAATAAGTACTTGGTAATTTTATTGATTTTCGAATTGGACAATCATTTTAAATAGTTTACTTGGACAAAAACTTCAATTGCACACGTATTGGAAGTGATTTATCGTGAAAGTATTTACTTATAAGTCTTTTATTGTTCGCTATCACTGACTAGATTGGCGCGTGCGATTTTTTAAGCCGTGCAACACACAGAGTGTCTTGCTTTCACTTATGAATTACATAATTTGCAAGAATGTTCTGCAACGCGTGAGATGGACGACAAAGCTTTACCGCATCGTTTCTCATCACTTTCGTGCTCTGCGTGTAGAAAAAATTTATACGAACCGTGATTGTAAGAACAGATATGTGAGCTAGCCGGATGATCTATCGAGAAGCATCAAGCTTGACCTTGAATAGTCCCATGTTCGAGCCAACCCGTGGTCACTGTGGAACGAATTGTCGTTTCCTGAATGAGGAAACAGGCTTTTTTATATGCTACAATGGGGCTTTACTCGTTTCGCACTGGCGCCATACGCATTTTTATCACTTATGCGCGTTGAAGCGTATTTTCTTTTTTTGAGAAAATTTTACCCAATTTTTTTCAAGTAAATGGAAAATTTAAATTAATGATAATGAAAATGAATATTAGAGAAATCTTAAATATTAAAGAAAAGTAAAAAAATAAAGAGAATTAAATGAAAGTTTATTTAAAATTGTTTTATATATTATGAAAAAATAATTCGAATTGCTTTTTTTTTAGCGAGATTTGTCGATGTTCCTTTTAGAAGATAAATTCATTTTCTTCTTTTTTTTTCATTGGCCAGAAAACATAAAAATCACATGGTGACCATTCTGACTATTCTAAGAACTCCTTTCAAAAACCACATTGGGACCAAACTAAAAGAAAAGGTTCGAAAAGACATGATTGTGCTTCAAGATGACGCACAGTATCATATTGCTGCACATATGTGTTAGAAACTTTGCAGCAAGTTTGTCATATATAATTCCGTTCACCATGTAATTATCGCTTTTTCTGAGCAATAAAAAAAGTGTTTAAAGTGAAAGGATTTTCTTTTGGAAATGGAAAAAAAATGTAAATCGTAAATACTTGAAAATGCAATCTGAATAATTCTTTTATAAGATATAAATCAATTCATCATAATAAATCAACGCAAAGTATATTTGTATGAGAGATGTCATTGTATGAAAAAAAAGATTGTGCACTTTTATTTTAAATATCTTTTTTATGTATTTTCCTACACTCGAGTTTAATAAAAATTGTTATATCTTTATTTTTGCTTTAATTTAATATTTTTGTTTTAATTTAAATATTCTAATCTTGATCTTTATTATCTTAAGGTAAATTATAATATATGCAATGTGATTCTATCATACTAGTCTCTATCAAACAAATTTATTTTTATTACCACGTGGAGTAAATAAGTTTTAATGAACAGATGACCAAACAATAGCTGCTGGACCGTCTGAGAAGGATGCTGTTTTCCGTCACGTCTTAGAGCAGGTAGAAAAAATGAATAGTTTTAGGAAACATCTTTTCTGTAACCTTGAGGGCCTCTGGCTTATTCTTTCAAAGCATATATTACGTAAATGAAACCGAATAACACATATTGGTGGACGTATAATAGGTTGCGCGAATACGTGTTTCTCAATAAAATTTAAATATGACCTATCTATTTGCAATCAATATGCCTCGAGCTGCGTGTTCTGAATAAAGTTTCAACGATTTTATCTTTGGAAATTCCGCAAAATCCTTTGAATCATATTTCTTAAGACAGAACTGCGTCGTGATTCAAAAATATTCTTCGCATCGATTTGCAAATATAGTTACGCATATTCTATAAATAATTAAATATCGTAATAATTTTACGGATGCATTGATTTTTTATTTGGTCTTCAGAAATTGTTGCATAATTAATGTGATCGGATAAAATAAAAATCTGTTTGGTTGATAACTCTGAATCACCGCGTATTTCCATTTGATAGCCATAAGAACGCTCACACTTGTCGCTGAAGGACGTGGGAAAAATTCCTAGTGTGTTTTTTTTCTCAGATGTTTACGTATATGGAATGTGTTTCAAGATATTATACTTCGAATCGGTCGCAGGTACAATTTATGTTGATTTGTTTTTGTTCCGAGTGCGTGTAACTTCAGTGTTCAGTGTCGATCTTCGTCGCGATGATTTAAGATCGGAGTAACGAGAATGAGAGAGTCATTGCTTGTCACTCAACAAGATCACATGTTGCGACGATCAGATGTTTGCCGTTTAGTTAACGCCATGGATCGAGTTGAAAGACTTTATTTGTGTTATAACATACGGCCACAGTATGGATTACGAAATATCGCCGGTTTGCGAAACTCGGCCGTCTAAGGTGAAACTAACGCGGCTTGTTATAGCGAGTCATTGGATTTAGCATCATTAATCTCGCGCAAATTGATAATTTGCTATCTCAGCCGTAACGTCATTAACACGGTTGCCCAAATTGTCTGTTAGAAATATTTCCTCATTATTTAGTTGCTCGTATGTGTTTGCAGTTAATAAAATTAAAATTCCTAAATATAAACGAACCGGAAATATAAGTAGATAGAAATAGTCTCAAGATTTTACCAAGCTATCTATAGTAATTTGCCTTGCGTTATTAACAAGCATATATTACAACATTATATTGAATACATTAAATTGTGTGTTATATATATATCGATTTTATAATTGTAATGTCGATTTTATATCAATCAATTTTATATATTCTCGTAATTTTCAAAGAAACAAGATACATCTGTGCTTAATTAAATTTATCCAATAATATTCTTTCTTTCTTAAAAAATGAGAAATCATTTTTATAATCCCTTTCGATCAAATATAAAGTTAAAAATTAAAAAGAATTAAAAACTCTATTTTTTGAGAATATTTTTTATTCAGAATATCATCAGGATTTTTTCAAATCATGCCTGCTTAATCGCAGTGATACGTTAAATTTTTTCAAACTCCTCTCGTATTTTACATTTCATGCTTTCTATAGACAAGTTGCCTTTCTATAGGCAAGATTTTTATCATTTATTGCGCACATTCCCTCGAATTCGATCATATGGAAGATCGCCATTGTTCGCGCAACCGGATTTCGCGGATCAAGAGACTGGATTCCCTGGTCAGTGAAACGAAACTGTAACGCCAACTCTCTGAGTCGGCACAGCATTGCAGGAGCCGATCGGACATTGGCAGCAAGTGAAAGTGTCGCCAGGTCGTACGTATTATTGTATGTACCCATATGCGATCGGTATCTTAGAAATCTCAAGCCTCACACTCTGGCCATACCGGGTAATAGCGCGTGCCATTGCTTTCCGTATTTCTGCTTCTGTTTTTTGCATCTCCGATATCGCGTATCTGGGATGTCCAATTATATTGATAGATTTTTCGATAAAAATTTGGCAGAGCAAATTAAAGAGCAATTTAGGATCAAGAATTGAAGTTTTATAAAATATTGGAGATTATCAGTTGTGTTAAAACCTATAGATTTTCTTCAGTTTCGAAAATGATTGTGTGTCTGTCAAAGAAATGTGTCTGCGAAGGACGACACGGAGGACGTTGCTCGATTACACGATTCGAACAAGTAGGTGTGTCGGAAATAGTTCCGTCAACGAACGGTACAAAATCCATTCGAAGCGTACGTATATATGCGGGCAATTACCGTTATATGTCATATAAAGATAATGGAAGTAACATTGTACCGTTTTTCCATGGCATTCTTTTTTAAAGAATGCCTTTTCTTTTCATTCTAGGAGCGATTTAGCACGCAATCGGAGCTATATAGATTTTCGGTAGAATTAAAACCGATTTAGAATTTGTTTCAAATGACACAAAGTAATACATGTACTTTGAATAAATTTAATCATCCTCCGGTATTATGATACGTTAAAGAAATTAATGATATATTCCGTTATATATATACGCTGTGGTTTTGTTATAACCGCAAGCGTTACCACACTACACGGTCTTTTAAATTGAAACAAAACGCAAAATAAAATAAGTACAACTTAATCCATAACTGACGTGCAAATTTGAGGAAATGTTACATAAAAATCTTACACGATGAATATCATGTTACCTGCATGATAACATTTTTTTCGAGCATTCTAGTATAGATATTTTTTTTAATAAAAAAGATATTCTTTCTGAAAGAGATGGTACAATTTTTTCAGAGATTTAATTGACTATGCAGTCTCAATTGCGAAAGAAAATAATATATTATTTAAGAGTTCAAATAATAAAGAATATTTATAAATAATGTACCAGTATATAATGTATAATTTTTTTCGAATTTTGGAAATTTCAATTATTAAAAAGATCTTGATCTCTCGATATTTATATACATAATTCAAAGTGAAAACAATTAATTAATAAACTTACAATTTGTAATAATAAAATACAATTTATTACCATGGAGACGGTTTGCGAGCCGGATTTAAAACTCGCAAAATAATTTCCTTGTCACTTGAACGTAAATTTGCATAAATTTTCGCGAAAAATATCACGCTGAATATCATAACGATTAATCGAGCTAATCAACCGACATCAACGGGCGAGTGAAACTTTAATATGTGACTGAAATAGCGTTCATATATGGTAGATACTGAATGTATGAGTTAAAGGAGCACATGAAAACATCGATATTTATGACGTATAATATTTTGTGTAACGAATATATATATTACAAAAAAAGAGAAAAAAAGAGGAAAAAACATGACAAAAAAAAAATACAAATACTGATTCGAAGACTACCTACTCAGAAATAGTCGGTCTTCGCGGTTGTCAGGAATACAGAATGACTTATAGCTAGCGAAAGCTTAACTCAGCCTTTAAGAAATCTCGGCGAGGCAGCGTCAAGGACGACTTGATTCGCATAACTATATGACGATGCCTCCACCGCGAAAAGATTAGCCTAATTAATGCGGTTGACCGATCGATCGGATGATTCTCAATTTCGTCTTACCAGACATAAGAAATAGGAATTTTAATGTCCGGTTACATAGAAATGTTTTTTGGAAAGAGACATGTGGTCGAATTGCATGTTTGCACAGTTCTTTTGAACATCTTGAAAATAATATTTAAATATAGAAGAAAAAATCTATAATTTATTCGGAGATTATAGTTAATAATATATCAAAGTAATTAATTTTTTATCATAATATATATTAATTTCAATACATCTCTTTTGTTACTATTTTTATAAATTTGGAATATTATTTAACATTTATTTAACATTTATTTATGTTTTATTTTTCTCTCTCTTTTTTTTTCTTTTTTGTAACTTGTTTTCTCTTTCTAATGAATATTATAAATATTATATAATTATATATGTATATTGTCTGTGTGTATATAAAGCATTATATAATTTTCTTTGTATGACGTGTATATTTTCTTTAAAATGCCGATATCAACATCTATAGCATCATTGAATTCATTTAACATCATTTTCGTTGTATTCCTCCTACGAGCTTACACGCAATTTCAACATGGGACTTATGTAAAGTGATTTATTCTTAACGCAATGATGAATGAAAGATAAGTCTTTTTATATTCTCAAGGAGCAACTATTTTAGTCGACGTTGTATTGCTTGTTAAATGACTATTACATCCGATAACAAATGTCTTCATTCGCTGAATTGACGTTTACGGAGAGATGATTTATCGTGCAAAGAAAAATAGTAGAATAAATACCGTATGTATAACAGAAAATCAATTGTTAATGAACGATCGAACGATTGATCGGTCAATCGGTTAGAAGTGCATTCGGAGAAAGCCGAAGAGACGTCCTTTAGGACGTCTGTGCAACATCATCAAGGCCGTTTTCCTCGATCGGCCGGCGATGACGATTCCACCGCGAAACCGTTAACCTAATTATTTATTGAATGGCCGATCGAGCGAATCGCATTTCTCGGACGGTAGCGGAGGTGGAAAATAACAGGAAACGTAGCGGGCATCATCGCATCGGCATCGATCAAAATGATTGCGAACCGTGTAATCGGCCAATCGTCGACACAAGTTTAGTATTTTTCATTTCAAGCAACCGTTCATGCGCTCACTTGATTTATGAAACGCATCTTTCCCGTTCCAACATCAATTGCCACGTCTGTCCATTTTAATTTAAGTAATTTCTTAAGTGAATTGTATGTATTAGAAACGTAAAAGCACATGCTTTCTAATCTCTTTAAAACAGATTTTTGATAAAATTATTTTTCTTGGTAGTTTAATTATCAAGATTATCGCAGATTCCTTCTAATCGTCCATCTTCATTGTTTGAAAATTTTCTCGCGTAAAAAGAAAAAGAACAAAACAATCATTTGTGCGGTTGATTTTCCAATTTTATCCGTCGTTCGAAACGGTACTTGTCTCCGTCCATCAAGGACGATGCGCGAATACCTCAATTCTTTTGTGTATCGTCTGTAACCCAGTTACAGCCGACATGCGAACGTATATGCAGATGCGTGTGCGTTGCATATCTCTGTTCGTTCGGATGAGAATAGTGTCGCGAGGGAAGAGGAAGGGATTAGATCCTCGAACACATTCCGTCGTTTGGCGAGACTGTAATCGGCGACTTGACGTAACAGGTTTAACTGTCCCCGGCGCCATTTGGAGAACGGTGAACGGAAAACGACCGGTTGGTTGTAACATGATAAGCAAAAGTTTGTTTCGAATCACCGGTTGATGGCTCTTACAAATCAGCCGAAACAGCTGATCGAAAAAGTCGATAGCACTATTAACATATGTATATATTAACTCTTCAACTCCGAAATCTTGCTTGATATATTCGTATTTACATCTAACAGCGAGAGAATTAAAAATTCGTAGAAATAACTTTAAAAAATTTTGTTTTTTATATAATTAATGACTTGATCCCGCTCTTCTATTTTTCTTTCTATTTTTTATTTTTATTTTATTTTTTTTTTTCTTGTAAGTCTATTAATTGATAAGGGAATTAATAATTTGGCGCAAAGGTGTAATAAAATAGTTATTTTAAAAACTATAAACATGACAAGTATTACTTCCAGCAAAGAAATTGTCTCAATATATGTAAGATACAAGACCGTTTTTTTTTCCGCTCAATTTGCCACGCTTTTCAACTTAAATATTACCTTTCATAAATTTAATGATAGCAACGATTCTTTTATATGGATAGCCTTTTTCTTATCATTTGCAGTCGCACTGCCTTTATTATTTTGTCAAAACACTGGAACGGATAAAAGCGCAGTCAGCGAAGCGGCGCGCGGATAAAATCATCGACGCGATAAGAATATTATCCGTGCGAATGGCGCTCGTGACGAACTATCAATTACTATACTAACCAAGTACGTCGGGACGTCTATTGAGAAGTCGTAGACCCTCGTCGAAAGTCTAACGTGCACGGGTAGAAACTCAAATGAAAGCTGTCCGGCCAAGGGAGCGAGCGAGCGATCAAAGTGGGAGAAGTCTCTCGATATGCTCGTGTACGTACAATATGTATGTGTATATTCGCGATTGATTTTTATAACTGTTTGCTACGTGCGGTGAGTTTTTTCCCCCGCCGCATAGAAATTCTTAGTCACGAAGATCGATCGTCGATCCGATCGATCGCGCGCGCTCTCGCGAATAGAGTCTCGAACGAGAGAGAGACACCTGTCATACCTGCATGTGCACGCGAGACTCTTCCATTAGGAAGAATCATCATGGATTTTCACTGAGCGCCATTCAAACGGCGAGCACGAGAGAGAAGGAGGACGAGGACGATGGTTTAATTTCGTTCGCTTTCAATGAAGCAGATTTGCAAATATCACTTTGTGGACCATTCAAATATTAGAAATCTACGGTATATACATAGTCACTTGATTGACTATTAACCCGCGAAAGCGTAGACAGGCTACACTTCACCGAGAAAAAAAAAAAGAGACACGAGATTCATACACGAACGTATGTTACGTCTACGACAGCCAATTAAATTAATTTCACTCGAACGCACTGTTATCGGCGGACTTGCAATGTATCTCGCTCGAGCTCGTTTTCTTCCAACGTAGGGATTGCCGCGAGGTGGTGACCTATATATCCTAACAACGTTTCGCAGAGTTGCTGACAGAGAACCGCGGCAAGAAAAAGTCCAGTTATCTCGGTACCGATATGTTAATTCAAAAGTAATAAGATATTTAGCGAGGCCTCCTTCTCTCCCGATCCGGTCTTGAGAAGGGCCGGCCGAACGAACGATGAGTCTCGGTCAGGTGAACCAGACGAATTTTAAATGGTGAAAGTCCAGCCAAGGGGAGCGATCACGCCCGGAAAAAAAGGAACGCGTTGTCCCATCGCGATACTTTTTTGCACGGCAACGAGATCCGCGCGCGGGAATGAGATGAAAAACTTGCGAAGATGTATTATATGATTTATCATCGCGATAATTTATTGAAATTTACGACGTGATATTTCACGATATATCGTAAGCAACGCATTCCGTGTCAAATTTACAGAGTCCCTTGCGACGATTAACTGTCATATATGTATGAGTAAATACAAGTGAAACGCGAGCATTTATTTTAAAGTTAGATTTCTGGAAAGAAGATAATGTCTTTTTTTAATAGACCTTTAAATAACATTAAAATATATTTTTACCTTCTAACAAAATGACAGCAGTCACATCATCAATCATGATAATAAATTAATTAATTGAATTAATCAATTCATTTGAATTAATTAATTGAAATCAATCTACGATTTTAATTGATAATATTAAATTTTCTTTAGATTCCTCAATTATTGAACAAATATCAAATTATCGGTATCATTTAAGTCTCACACAAACAATATGCAAATGATCGTATATAATTATACCGAAATAAAGATGTTGGGGACCCCATGTTATATACGTTATATCACTTGCGGTTCAAGAGCCACGAAACAATGTTTGCGAAACATTCGCGATTCACGAAACGATGGTGCTCATCTTGATGCACATACATATGCAGTTGCAGGTGCAGCCTCGTGATGTCAGCATCCATTGTTCAGCGACATTCGATGGTGGCAGAAACGCACGACTCGTGGATCTTAAATGTAGTGCAATGACTGTACGCCATTTTTACGCGAGTCTTTCTCTTTCTTTCTCGGTCGACTCTTACCTCTGTCGATGTTGAGAGATGTTGCCGAAATAGCACAACGTGTGCACGCAAGAGCAGTTAAAACGAATGCATAGATAAAATACTAATTATGTCCTCTTAAGTTTATTAGAAACGATAAAAGGAGAATAACAGAAAGAGAAAGAGAGCACTATGTGAAAATTTGTTATTGCCGTTAAATGTGTATCTGCATCGCGATGCATGTGTTTAATTCACTGCCGGCAGATGCTGGTTCACTCATGACCCATATCTTAAGAATGTTTTATAAAACTCGTACGGGGGATAATTGAAACAAATATTTCACGTGTGTTCAATTATATAAAAATGTCAACAATTCTTATCTTGGACATATCTGTCTTGTTCTTTTAATTATCACATATGTGTAGAAGTAGTATTTTTTACGAGAAAAAAAAAATTTAAGAATATAATATATGTGTATAAAATTATAAAGTCCATTACAAAATTTAATTCTGCGATATGTATAAATGAAATAATTTTAAATCAAAATCGATTTATTTTAAATAATTGGCAATTGGGTCAAAATCGATTTATTTTAAATAATTGGCAATTATATAGAATTCCGATTTCTCCGCAATTTCTCCTTCTATTAATCTAAGGGACATCTAAATAAATTCTACCTCTCGCGATCTTGTTAAGATACATTTAATTACATCGTTTATCTTGTATCCGCGCATGTTCGATCTCGTTTCCTCGAGAATCAAAAACCTGGCAATTTCATTTCGCTTAATCTAATATTAATACATCGAGTCGTACCGGAAAAAAACGCTCACTGCTTTCGATTACGAAGAAAGCCCGCAAAGTCTCCGTAACCGCGAGGTATAAAACTTTTACCATGGCATGCGCTTTACAACCGTAACGCGAACGCGATCCAGGAGGAAGAAATTCGTCAGAGCCCGGCCGCGGAGTTCCGGGGCACGGCTCCGGGATGTGCATCGTTTGCAGCCGGTTCGACTACATTTTGTGACAACGCACATTCTCTCTCTCGCACGTATATGCGTACGCGGTATATACATAAGCACATTTACATACACGAATCCTGCACAAATACAGAGATGGTCCTCCTTCGAGACGGGGTTCCGAATCTCTCCATGGTCGTGTCTCGTGAGCGGTCTCCGATCGTGCGGTCCGTAACCAGACAGAGACCACATATGCAAAATACACGTGGAAAGCGATCGAGACCTGCGGTTCACTTTGAGAAGCCGCGGCTCGCCCGTCTCTCCTCGACGCGGTGAACCTCGAATTCTACTTCGTCGCGTGCTTTTATCGAGTGATTAATTCCGTCTTCTCGCTCACTTTGCATTTTGATACCCCGAAGGGGGGATAATGGAATTGCGATGTAAGAAATTGCGCGAAATGGAGATTAATCGCGCGCCCGTAGTTCGCACGATCGTCGATCTGTTCAGCATGACGTTTATTTTCTGCGTCCTGTTTACGTGGATTTTATAAGAGAGAGAGAGAGAGAGAGAAGGGGAAGAGAGGAAAAGGAGAAAGATTACTTAAACTCTTCGCGTCGGTAGATTACCCCTCAGTGACATCACATTGTGATGAAAATAATATATTGTCACTAATATGTTTGAGATAAATTTTTCATGAAAAAAAACTTTCATACTATTAATTTATTTCTTGTCGATAAATAAATTAATGATTCTATTCTATACATATTATAAGAAATAATTAAAATCTCAAAGGTATTAACTTTTCTCTATTAGAAAGAACAAATTTTTTTTTTTGTTATCACAAAAACGCCACAAATTTATATCTTACTTCACAGTTTTATATTATCATATTAAAAGAATTAAAAAATGTAATCATGCTTAAAACTCCATTTTTTTCGTCGTTTGCATTTGGCAAAATGTTGAAATTACAATCATTTTAGCTCATAACGCAGCTAAATTAATTATTAACCTAGGTAATTGATTATTCTTTATTATTTTTTTAATTAATAGTGCGAGATTTGTATTCTCTCTCTTATTCGTGAAATGTTAAATTCCTGCGGGAATCCTTTCGTGGCGCAAGGAATCACGGGATATGCTCAAGTCGAGATTCCAGCATGGATATAACCACCCACGTACGAGCATATTCGTTCTCAACATTAGACTAACATGATTTGATCTCCGACAACGTACACGTACGTAGGTACGTTCGTCCGTCCATTCATTCGTCTCTGCTCGCTCTAATCTTCCCTTCTCGGACATGCTTGGACTCACAATTTCAAATATTCTAACCATCTGCCGATTATAAATCACGCACAGAATAGCTGAACGATTTTATTCGATTAATATTAAAGATGCTTTATTAAGTATTGTATTATACAAGGGCTGTCCATAAAGAAAACGAATTAAAAAAAAAAGCGCTCGAATGCGATGACGTGGGGCCATCTGCTTTGTGGCATTGTGTAGTGGGATTCTTTAGCAATTTTCTCACACCACGAGCATGACGCTATCGTTTTTAGTTTACGTTTTATGGTGGTTTGAATGAGGTTGTGTTCGGCGGTCGTAGCGATTTTCTAGACGTCATGATTTTTTTTTACAATATAAGAAGTAGAATTTTTTATAATTTTTATAAATTTTTTCCCACAAATAAAAAGTAATAAATTAACAATATTATAAATCACTCATTTCATAATAGCCTCTAATAGCGTCGTCGTTAATGCTTTTCCGCGTTTTCTTTTCTTCTGTTTGTGTTCTTTGCTGCTTTTTCATCTCCTAGCACACGATATTCATTCACGAAAATACGGATAATAACCATTGTACGCGCACTAATTATCAATACTTTACTTAGCACTCCCGACAACAACACGCACTTTATATTGCAATGCAAAAATCATGGTTACATGAAGCTACGAGCTTTGCTCGGCACTAAAAAATCTCGCGGTCGAATTCACACAATGCTATTCTCACAATGCTTGCTAATGAATAGCATTTTATTTGATTCATTCGATAATTTTATATTTCGCAATTTTATTATCTCTCATTACATAATACAAATGAATAGGTATACACGTTAAAATTAAAGATGGATATCTGCAGAATGCAAGAATGTGCCATCGCTTTACGAAGATCGATTTTGAGCGAATAATAAATCATATAAACTAATTAATTACGCGGGTTAATATTCACTATTTGTAATAATTCTAAAGAGTAAGTGCGTTTCAAGAGATATCATACGACACATGCCGTCTCGTTCGAGTCTCGCCCGCACGAATAATCACCAACGGATGATAGCTTCGTGTAACGGCAATTTTTCCGGTACAATATAAACTAAAATGCACATCGTGTGCGATCAGTGTTTGGAATATTAACTAAAATGTTATGCGTATTCTGAGAATTAGTACATACGCAATTAATTAATCACGTTTTTGCGAGTGAGTATCGTGTGAGTACCATGAAGGAGCAATAAAGAACCAACAAGAAAAAAAAAAAAGGAAGAGAAGGTCCAGAGAAGCATCAGGCGAGAAATGGCAGGGCCACGATGAGGTAGACAATTTATAATTTTATTAATTTATTATTTGATTTTTGTGAAATGTAAAAATAAAAATTTAATTTCTATTCTTTATGTTTTTGATATAAAAGTTTAGATCCAAAACAATATTTTTGTCAGAAAAATCATGGCAGATTATTATTGATTGTAAATATGGCGTATGTATAAACATCGTAAAGCGAACATATCTAAGAATTGTGACAATGTTTATGATCGTGTGTGTGTATTGTATTTCTGCTACCGGGTAGC